AAAGAAATGAGAAAGAGAAAGGAAAAAGGAAGAAAGAGAGAAAGAAAGGAGAAAGAGGAAGGAAAAAGGAAGAAGAAGAAAGAAAGAAAGAAAGAAAGGAAGGAAGGAAGGAAGGAAGGAAGGAAGGAAGGAAGGAAGAAAGAAAGAAAGAAAGAAAGAAAGAAAGAGGAAATAAATAAATGAATGGATCGCCAAGAGGCTCCTCTTAAATGTGCGAGCCTGGCTAAAGACAGGGATGCACACTGCCCTGACCCCCCAACACACACACACACACACACACACACACACACACACACACATGCCTGACCTTCCCGTATGTGGTATTTCACCTGGCCGAGCTCCAGTTCAAAGCATCACCAGGACCTTCCTGCTACGGACAGGTCCAGGTCTCTTTGTTCAAATGTCACTGTGGTGAATTATAGTTCAAAGAAGCTAATTTAATTCCATAGCACATAGTAGGTAGTCAACAAGGGGGACAGAGAAGTTATGTTTCCCTATGGGCACGTGCTATATTGTGGAAATTGGAATGAATTGGCATCCGTGGATGAAATACAACGAGTCTATAAATGCTCACCCATGCCTCTTGAGTAAGATTTCAGAGAGAGTTATAAGGGATGATAGCCAGGCAGCCCTTGCCAGCTCCTACTCTAGTGTGCAGACTGAAGAAGGAACTTTTTACGAAGAAGGAATCTTCAGAAGTGTGCTTTATAAGAACTTTTAAACTGAATGCTGAAAAGAACAATTTCAGGGCTGAGAATGAGAGCCCAGACGGACCCTGAGTCACGGTCACACTGGCAAGGGGGACTAGGATCCTCTGAGGCCTTAGACACATGCGACTCAGTAAACACATGGTTATTGGGCAGCAGGACTTGTGTGACCACCACTAAAGCAGTTTTCATTGGGAAAACTGCAGATCCAACTAGGGAACGTTGTGGGCAGATGTAGCACTGAGGACAGCAGGCTTAGTACTTCTTGGCACCACAGAATGTATTTACTACCCGGCATGATCTATTGCTTCCATTCTACAGGTGGAAAGGTAGAAGCCAGCATTGCCTGCCTGCAATGCCTTCTGCTGAGCTGCTCTCTAGAGACAAATGTTTGCTCAGTGAAACACTTTGGATCATCTCCCAGTATTGATACCACATATATTAGTGAATTCTCTATGGCTGTGAAGAGACACCATGACCATGGGAACTCTCATAAAGGACAGCATTTAATTGGGGCTGGCTTACAGTTTCAGGGATTCAGTCCATTATCATCATGGTGGGAAGTGTGGTAGAATGCAGACAGACATGGTGCTGGAGAGGCTCTGCATCTGGATCAATAGGCAACAGGTGGAGAGAAAGAAAATACCAGTCCTGGCTTGGGCTTTGAACTCCAAAGCCCACCTGCAGTGACATACTTCCTTCAAAAAGGCCACACCCACTCCAACAAGGCCACATCTCCACCCATCTTAAGCATTCAAATATATGAGCCTATGGAAGACATTCTTATTCAAACCACCACATATAGATACATTCTGTGACCATATAAGCATGTATGTAGGTGCATGCATGTGTGTACACGCATGTGCAGGCAAGAGAACAAACGGGTGTTATTTCTCAGGCAGTGAATGTTCACCCTTTGGGTTTTGTTTTAGTTTGGGGTTTTTGTTTTGTTGTTTGCTTGTTTGTTTGTTTTGAGACAGGGTCTCTTCCTGACCTGAAACTCACCAAGTAGACTAGATTGACTGGCCAGTGAGCCACAAAGATTTACCTGTCTCTTCCTTCCCAGCTCAGGGATCACAAACCTATGCCACCACAGTCACCTTTGTTGTTGTTGGACAAACTGATACTTTGATTGAGCTATATGATTTTATTATATGTCTTGTATATCATATCTGTTTTTAATTAATTAAATTTCCCCTTTAACAACATCATGCATATGTGGAATTCTCATTCTTCTCACACACCCATGCTTTCTCACCCACCTCCCTCTCCCATCTTCTTCTCCTCTTAGGTTTTCTTCCTAATACCACGATAAAGGCCATGTCTGAAAGCCTTAGGTGTGGAAGCATAAATGCCTACTGTCACATGTGCTTACCGTTTTGAATAGCCAGGATTCTCCTGAAAGGAGAGGCCTCTCTGAGTAAAGCTAAAAGTATTCACCTATGGGTATAAACACGAATATTTAGATGGAGTTTAGCTGAATGTGGTAGAAGTCCTCACTAGAGCCTACAAGCCTCAGGCTTTTCCTTTTGCCTGCATGTATGTCTGTGCTCCATGTGTGTATCTGGTGCTCAAGGACAGAAGAGGGTGATAGTGTCATAGCCACTTAAACTGGAATTAAAAATGGTTGCAGGCCTGGCAGGTTGGTATCGTAGTTCGTAAAGTTTCCTGCTAGGTAAGACCATCAGTATCTTTTCTTTTCCCAAAGCCTGCTTAGCGTTGTCTGGAAGCCTGCTTAGCACCCAAGATG